TACTTGTTGAGGGTTGGATTCATGTGCCCCCTGCAGGTGGATTACAGCAAAGAAAATGTTTATTTGGAAACATCATTGTCTGTCATATACAGTTAAAAAAATACTGTACTCCACTGGATGTGTCTCACTTTTGAATATTTATAATAATTTGGACATCTTTGCTTATTTAGGTTTTTATTTAAAAGTCAGCACTACCTCAGTACTAACCAAATGAATAGCACAGTTTAAATAGGTAAATGATGAAATACTTCACAGTGGTAGAAAATACCGTTTTGTTTCTGTATTGTTTGTCTTCTCAAGTGTTCTACAAGTGTTTCATGGCTTTTTAAAGACCTTTTGTATACTACACCCCGGCTCTCAGGGCACTCCATGGCATTTAAATTTGTCTCTTCCCCCCTCCCTGTTTTTCTTCTTCTTTTTTATTTTTAATTGATCTCCCCTCTTCCCATCCCATTGTGCGCCATTGCGCTAAGTATTCATGTCTGAGTTACGTCTACTCTGCTCTTGGTTTCTTCACATACTGTTTTCCTAGCGTGTTCGGCTCTAGTTCTGTACGTCTTTGTGAATTTGTGTTGATTTATTAGCTGCATGTTTGTTCACTCACAGTCATCCTGTCATTTAGTTTTTGAGTTTTGAGTATCAGGGGCTCTGTGCGTTTGCTCCAGGCCACAGTGGAGAACATCACGAAGGAGAAGATGCCCAAGAAAGGAGGACGCTGGTGGTTTTCATGGCGGGGCAGAAACAACAGCTCCAAATCGGTATATTTGCATTATTGCATATAGGAAATAATTGTGAATTGAATTAAGGGTGTGAAATGATACCAGATTTATCACAAGACTTTTTGACTTGGCAGGTTTGCAAATATTATATATGCAAAAAAAAAAAACCATGCAAATCAGTTACTATCATTCCTACTGCAACAGGAATCAGCATCTGACCAGATTGAAGGTGGAGAGGATTCTATAAGAACAGCATCTGTGAGCAGGTACCTAATGTTTCATATTTAGAAAAACACAACATTGTTCTGGCTAATAGATTAAAGGGTCATATTCTGCATTTTCTTAGCATATTTCAGCTGAAGTACAGTTGTATAAAAAAAACACCAAATACAAGAGTAGAGACTAAAGAGTCGCTTCCATTCCTCTACGCCTATTTTTCAGCTTAGCAAAATAGTTTCGTAAAAATAGTAGTTCTGTTCGTAAGTACCACTAAGTCGTAAGTATGTGTAACAGCAGCAGCTCTGGACATGTGACCATAAGCGCAAATCTTATCGGTTTGTCAGTTTTATACGCAGTGCAGTGGAAAAGAGATTTTTTTTTTTGCCTCTCCATAAAAAACTGTTGCATTGACAGCATGCAAATCAGTCTGTACAGACACATTAATAGCCATTCATTCAAAATATAATGTTGATCGCACCAAATATTTGCACTGAACATTCATATCAGTCTTTAGTCAAGGTCTCTCGCATCCAAAAGTTGTAATTAAGGTTTACACTAACATATTACACCATCTCTCAGGTCTTTAGAATTAAACAGACCTAGGGCCAGTTACTAACAGCTTGTGCCAGCCGAAACTGTCTTTTGGCATTAAAATAGTACTGTCAGGGTTTACTAAAAGCATGCAGTGAAGAATTAGCGCTGAAAAGGCATGGACAGTTATTTTTGTGCCTAACCTTATTGAATATGCATTTGTAGGAGTTTCCCTTTCACGCGCAAAATTTATGGGAGGAGAGTATTAAAATGAATCACGCAACGAGTTTTACTAACGTTTGCGCTCGTCAAATTACTGGTATTTGCGCCATTATTTAATGCCCCAAAAAAAGCATGTCGTAAAGCAGACGGTAATTTGCGCTGCTCTTGGTAGACTGCACTGGTCATTATGGAAATGAACAGGCTGTACCTGTGTTCTTTAATGTGCGCATTGTCAGTAAATCACCCGCAGAATTTTCCCCTCCCATCGGCACTTTTATGGAATTGTGCTATGGAAAACGCTAATTTGCCCTGTTTAGTAAATCTGGCCCTTAAACAGAGGTTTTACAGTTTTTGGTACTGTACCTTTAAGACTTCTATAGACAGTAACTACAAAATCAGGTTTTAGAATAGGAACTAAATTTTAGAATATGAGCTCAGATGCAGAGACAATTGTGTGACATCAAACAAAACATATTTTAGAAGACTGAGAATGTAGATTTTTTATAGAGTATACATTTTGACTGGTGGTATTTTTCATAGATTAAAGGATGAATCATCATCCAGTGAAGATGACAGTGGAGGTGCTAAACAGAATCCTGTGAGCAATCAGCCTGAAGTTCTCCACTGCACTGGAGGCCACTGCTACAGGAAGACACTTCGTTTGTCCTCAGAACAGCTAGTAAGCATCTCATTTTCCATAAAGCCTGTAAATTCAGTCACAGAATAGGTTATGGAAACCCACGCTACAAGCATATTCCTCACAGGCCAGTCTGCACTTAAAAGATGGCCCCAATGATGTGGTCTTCAGCGTCACCACCCAGTATCAGGGCACCTGCCGCTGTGAGGGCACCCTTTATCTGTGGAACTGGGATGACAAGATAGTGATTTCAGATATCGATGGCACCATCACAAGGTGAGACTACTCAAGGCAACTTTCTGTGGCAATGTAATGGGTTTGTCAGATGAAAAAAATGAAGGTACAGTCTAAATTGCAAAATCTCCTTCAGGTCTGACACCCTGGGACACATTTTACCCACTCTGGGTAAAGACTGGACCCATCAGGGCATTGCCCGACTCTACCACAAAGTCAGCCAGTGAGTCCCACACCACACATGTGAGCAAAAAGATTTTTGGCCCATTTTAAAATGTCTAATATATCTAATTATCTTTGTCTAACAGGAATGGCTACAAGTTTATGTACTGTTCAGCTCGGGCGATTGGCATGGCTGATATGACCCGGGGTTACCTGCACTGGGTTAATGAAAGAGGCACCATGCTACCCATGGGACCTGTGCTGCTTAGTCCCAGTAGTCTGTTCTCTGCATTTCACAGGTTGTAACACACACACAACATGTATAGGCTTTAAAAAATTGAGAGAATGCCATATTACATGTAACTGATGTCTTTTCTTTTCATTTCAGGGAGGTCATTGAGAAGAAGCCAGAAAAGTTTAAAATTGAATGTCTGACCGACATTAAAAACCTGTTCTATCCAAACACAGAACCCTTCTATGCTGCTTTTGGAAACAGAGCAACAGTAAGTACTAGTAGCAAGAACTGCTAACATGACCTTCATCTGATATATGCAAATTTCTAAGGAATGTTCTTCTCTCCAGGATGTTTATTCATATAAAGAGGTTGGAGTGCCTTTGAACAGAATATTCACTGTGAATCCTAAGGGAGAGCTCATCCAAGAACATGCAAAGACCAACATATCATCGTAAGTGACTGCATAAGTTCTGGATCTAATGAAAACATGTCCGTCTCATTGTAAAAGAAAGAAAAAGATATTTTGCAATGAAACTAACCCTGGTTTGTTTGTTTGTTTGTGACACTATTTTTATGATAATTATCTCATTTTCCCATTTGTCATTTAAATGCATTCAGACATTTGTATACTTTTGATTGTTTTTGTCATTTCCATCATCCAAAATTAAAAGAAAAATAAACATATTTAGCATTAAAATGGAGCCTGTTTTAAAATTATTTATAATAATTAAGCTCATATTTCCTTCTAAAGTCTCATTTAAATGCATCTGGACATTTCACATTTTTGTCATTTCCATTATTATCAATGATTCTCATCAGAATCTAACAGTAGATAATTTAGTAGTGTCTAATAGTTTAAAAATTGTCAGTCTGACAGTAAATTCATCTGTATATTCTTGTGTGTTTTAGTTATGGACGTCTATGTGAGGTCGTGGATCATGTCTTCCCTCTTCTGATAAGAGGGAACACCGCCGACTTCCCCTGTTCAGACATCTTCAGCCAGTTCACCTTCTGGAGAGAGCAGTTACCAGAGGTAGACAAGCAGGATCAACATGCCGAGAGCAGCTGAAAGGACATACAGTTCTGTAAAATGATAGCATCCCTTACAAACTCAGCTCTGACGCTGCACTGCCATAGGTATTCCTCTACGCACAAGCAACTTAGCACTTTGCAGACCGCATGCCGCACTCTGAATGTTCCTTCTTTATTTTACATTTTTACAAACATTTACCATTTCTGTGTGCTAATATTTTGTTTTACTGGAAATAATCTGGTAGCATATTACACAGCTCATATTAGGGAATTTGTTTATTGTTTATTGGTGAGGTTACAGTTATTTTAAAGTGCCAAAAGCGTTATTCATAACCAACAAGACAATTACATTATGCTATTAAAAAAAAGTATATTGGCTTTGTCCAAGGTTGTAAAGATGTATGAGGGAATACAGTTATTTTAGTACATAGTATAAAAAGTTTTTGAGCATTTGTTATAATGCTCAAATTTGTTATTTGTTATATATATATCTCTGCTGAGAGAAATTTAAAAGTTTCATAAAATTAAAAAATAAAAAACAATAGTAAATTAACTCAGATGTAGGTATAAAGCCAGCTTTAGTATATCTCAGGTTATACAGAATTTACACAAGGTAGTCTTTTGAAACTAAAAGTGACCTTTCATAACAAAAAATATTAACTGTCAGTTTTCATGTTTTTTTTTACATCTAAATTATTTTACTACTCCATTTCCTTAACAACAAACACAAGTTGATCGATTTTAATTGTGCCATCCTGGACACTTTTTTACCACATACACACTTTACATTTTGCCAAATGCTTATTATTATGTGATAACTTTCCATTCCTTATTATTTGTGTGTATTTTATGTAAAGTTCATAACTCTGACCAGCAAATATGAATCATGCAGAAACTGATTTTGTCATAAGTCATACCCGTTAGCATTTAAAGAAAAACAGAAACTAAACAAAAGCAAACAAAAACGCAAAGAACACTCAGGTCATGAAGTATTTCCTACCTGTATTAAAGCTCATCCAAGAACATGCAAAGACCAACATATCATCGTAAGTGACTGCATAAGTTCTGGATCTAATGAAAACATGTCCGTCTCATTGTAAAAGAAAGAAAAAGATATTTTGCAATGAAACTAACCCTGGTTTGTTTGTTTGTTTGTGACACTATTTTTATGATAATTATCTCATTTTCCCATTTGTCATTTAAATGCATTCAGACATTTGTATACTTTTGATTGTTTTTGTCATTTCCATCATCCAAAATTAAAAGAAAAATAAACATATTTAGCATTAAAATGGAGCCTGTTTTAAAATTATTTATAATAATTAAGCTCATATTTCCTTCTAAAGTCTCATTTAAATGCATCTGGACATTTCACATTTTTGTCATTTCCATTATTATCAATGATTCTCATCAGAATCTAACAGTAGATAATTTAGTAGTGTCTAATAGTTTAAAAATTGTCAGTCTGACAGTAAATTCATCTGTATATTCTTGTGTGTTTTAGTTATGGACGTCTATGTGAGGTCGTGGATCATGTCTTCCCTCTTCTGATAAGAGGGAACACCGCCGACTTCCCCTGTTCAGACATCTTCAGCCAGTTCACCTTCTGGAGAGAGCAGTTACCAGAGGTAGACAAGCAGGATCAACATGCCGAGAGCAGCTGAAAGGACATACAGTTCTGTAAAATGATAGCATCCCTTACAAACTCAGCTCTGACGCTGCACTGCCATAGGTATTCCTCTACGCACAAGCAACTTAGCACTTTGCAGACCGCATGCCGCACTCTGAATGTTCCTTCTTTATTTTACATTTTTACAAACATTTACCATTTCTGTGTGCTAATATTTTGTTTTACTGGAAATAATCTGGTAGCATATTACACAGCTCATATTAGGGAATTTGTTTATTGTTTATTGGTGAGGTTACAGTTATTTTAAAGTGCCAAAAGCGTTATTCATAACCAACAAGACAATTACATTATGCTATTAAAAAAAAGTATATTGGCTTTGTCCAAGGTTGTAAAGATGTATGAGGGAATACAGTTATTTTAGTACATAGTATAAAAAGTTTTTGAGCATTTGTTATAATGCTCAAATTTGTTATTTGTTATATATATATCTCTGCTGAGAGAAATTTAAAAGTTTCATAAAATTAAAAAATAAAAAACAATAGTAAATTAACTCAGATGTAGGTATAAAGCCAGCTTTAGTATATCTCAGGTTATACAGAATTTACACAAGGTAGTCTTTTGAAACTAAAAGTGACCTTTCATAACAAAAAATATTAACTGTCAGTTTTCATGTTTTTTTTTACATCTAAATTATTTTACTACTCCATTTCCTTAACAACAAACACAAGTTGATCGATTTTAATTGTGCCATCCTGGACACTTTTTTACCACATACACACTTTACATTTTGCCAAATGCTTATTATTATGTGATAACTTTCCATTCCTTATTATTTGTGTGTATTTTATGTAAAGTTCATAACTCTGACCAGCAAATATGAATCATGCAGAAACTGATTTTGTCATAAGTCATACCCGTTAGCATTTAAAGAAAAACAGAAACTAAACAAAAGCAAACAAAAACGCAAAGAACACTCAGGTCATGAAGTATTTCCTACCTGTATTAATTCCTTCATATTAATGTCATATTTAATACATCTTACTCATTTTCATAAAATATATATAAACACACGCCTGAGAATTTTTCTTTTTTTTTTTGCTTATTTCAATAATTAAGAATATAAACTCTCCTGATTCATGGTGCATACTATTATTGTGTTAATTTTATTTTATTTTTTAAACAATCTTTATATTCTACCAACACCAAGACCTTTACCCAGTTGTGTCTATTGTTTCTATCTTATTAAAGGATGAAATGGACTGTGTATTATGAAAGCACTGTATACTGAAATATGTCTCTAGTAAATGAATAAGGTTTTTGTGTGATACGTACTGTAAATGGACAAGCTCTTGCTTATTCTTAAGTCTGTGGTTTTCCATGGTTATCAAGGAGCACATTAAATAAGCACTGATGTGATGCATGAATGATGAATGGGCTTTAGGGATTGATTTGAAAGAACAGTGTATTTTAACGTATACCGTGTTATTGTTCTGCAATGAAAAAACAGAGTATATGATATAGATGTGTGCAACATGAAAATGCAAATTGTACTGATCTCTAATTGGTTCAGTTGGTGATACAAGCTTATTATAATGACAGGTGACTGCTACAAACTTCAACACTGTGAATGATCAGGTCAAACATTATAGATTGTTTCTGCTCTTTCTACCTATCTTACAATATTTAACATATTCAGTTCATTAAGATTTCTTATTCTAAACAAAAAAGCTGAATAATATAAGACTGTGTAACATGTTCTCTGTTTATATGAATGGTAACACCAATAACATTCAGTTGCAAAAGTTTTTGTTCTGTTTGCAGTCTCTATGGAGTTTTATATTCTTTCTGTGAAAGATCTTGTTGCCGAAGTTGTGGCAGTTGAGTTTGTTTGTCATTATGTTTAGTGTTGAGATGTAAAACTACAGTTGTGTGTATATTTTAAGATGCCAAATCTCAATGTGTAAATTAAAATCCCATTACATGAATCCAAAAACATGCTTTTCCTGTTTCTTGTTTATCTGTGCCATACTGAAACAACCTACCTTGGTGTTACTGTAACTAAGCAGATTGAGTACAGTTCATAGTTTCTCGTCAATAGTGTTAAAAATCACACTGAATAGATTCTTCACCTCTTCAGGTCTTATATGACGAGCTTCAGTTTCCCTTTTCACGCAGATACTCGGCTAAAATACAAACATTATTATCAAATAGTTGAGCAGAAAAGTTTATTTTGAAAAACATTTGTGTAAAATTTTAGCTCACCTAGTTTCTCAACTGCTTCCACACAGATACTCGGATACATGCTCTGTGAATATGTGGCAACAATCACATACAGTGCAGTTCTCACCAATATCAGGCCATGTCCTTCCTAAACAAAAGCAGTAATGAAAAATCAGTGACTGATGTGTTTACATTTGCAACTTTTATTATGAGTCAATGACCTGATGCACTTTTTTTTTGTTTGGATCTCGTTATTAAAAATATCCAGTTTATACAGACACTCTTTTCATTTTTGAATTAAAGTTATTATTATTATATATATTTTTTTACTTTTCTTTTTTTCTCAAAAATGTTGAAGGTTGTTACTGTCTAGAGAGGGAAAAAAGTCTAACTGAAGGGTCGAACTGTTGGCATTAGTAATTTGATATATTTTATTCCTTTAAAAAAAAAAAGATAAGCAGTGAAGCAGTTTTGTAACTGAAACACTTGTCATATGTGACAAAAAAAAACGGGGCAAACGAAACGGAAAACTATGAAAAGGGAGGCGTTATAGGCTATACAATTTATTAAGTGGCTTAACGTTACATTGACTGGGTTTACTTGTTGGAAATGCGTATTTTTGAGCAGGTCTGATTAAAGATTAGAGTATATTCAGTGTGTTACCTACATATTTTGTGTATATGAAGTGTTTGTCAGCACGCACACAGGTGTAGTGTTTGCTCCTGAAGTCGAGTCCTCCCTGCCTCGTTACATTCACATGCTTGAATGCGTCTAGAAGCATCTGTGTTTGTTCTGGACAGACCTGTTTGAAGAGATTAAACTGAATCACCTAAATGGACATGTCTGTTGTAAACAAATATTATCGATAAAACCTTAAATGATACACGTTTGTCTGTTGGAATGCACAGAGTTGCAGTAAACTTACTGTAAAGTTGGACGTTGCCGTTACGTCGCCAGTTTTCGCCACAAATATCGCTGCGGACTCTACATGTTTTGTGTCAATGAGACAGCCTTCTAATAACTTTGGAAATGGATTCATATTTATACGTAACACATTACCTCAGAAAGTGCTCGAAACGTTTATTAGATATGGTATGCATTCACAACAACAACGTTGCTGAACGCTGTCGCCCTTAACAACCGCCTGACTCGTGAATATTAACAGAGCCCTAATTAATATTCATGACTATTGGCGTATGTATGACCGTATATTACGGACAAAAAATAAATAAACTTGTCCTCTTACAATTAATAAAACATTTCATTTGTAGTAAAGACAATCACCCAGTATACTTTACAGTATTTTAATTTTATTTGCATCTGAATCTGATTTTGTTGCATATTTGTGCTTGGAGGTCTTTCTGACAATACAATATTTTTCAAAACTAATACTTGGCAAAAAGGAAACGAAAACTGGCGAGAGAAAAAGATAAAGAAAAAGGGGTGTAAGGAAAAAACATTTTAAGAACAAAAACATTTTCAGAATATTCAACAAACTTTATTACATTTATATTTAAAACTAAAACAAATAAAACCTAAGAGACAAACTCAGTGACTTGAGTAAACGTTCATACTACTCCAACTCAGCAAAAAATATACAATATTAACACCTTTTCTGAATGCTTTACAGCAATCCAGATATAGTGGGCAGCGTAAAATGTGAAGACAGCCCAAGACGCATAAATTAACATAAATAAAACTCAGTCAAGCACGCGAAATCAAGTGATTAGACCTTTAACCAATCATCTCTGGTTAATCACCTCATTTGTACCTTCCTTCCTACATAAAAACTAGTAAGCTCTGCAAAAAAAGTTCATTCCATGTAACAGGCTAACAAGCTGTTATAAGATTTTATAGAGGATCAACTGGCTGGTGCAAATTAATTATATAATGGTGAAGTTAAATGGAAGAACTGGCAGGTAAGGCAGATGGATAATGAATTAAAAAACAACACCACCTGGTTTAGTGTTGCTGATGAGAATATTCAAGAAAAAGGTTCTCATCAACTTCAGGTCTAGGCAAGTTACGATTATAACAAATATAGCTTTCTGTACAGCAATAAAGACAGAATATAGGTATAGGTATAGGCATAATATAGGTCCTGAGATATCTCTACATCCAGTGGTAAATTATTTAGGCAATAAAACTAACAAAAAAAAAATCCCAAATTCTCCCTTTTCGTTCCCATGTCACTTGGTCAAAAATCAAAACTTGGCAAAGTTGTGAACGTTAACTCTTCTTCCTTATGGTCACACATTCATTAGTACGTTCCATAGTAGCTGAGAACATTTTAAGGCAATCTTGAGACGCTAGTGATGAGAAGCTGTGCTTGAAGTGCAGTCTTGCAGAGACATCCTCTCTCCTCATCATTTGGGGGCTTTGTGGTCAAACAGCTGCAGGTCAAGCCGAACCCAAACCTCTCCAGTGGGAACTTCATGAAGCAGCAGCCTCCTAGTGGACGGACCTTTATTTTCAAGCTCTTTCTTAATAGTGGCTACAGGAACCTCAGTGCGACCTAAGAAGTCTATGGAGGGAGAAAGACAAATAGAGCAATGCCCGTTTTTAGGGAATGTGTAATTATACATGCTAAAATACTAAGATACGGTAGTTCAGTTTAAAATTGAATTATGTAGAAACAGTATTATACTTGCTATTTTTCACACTCACCATCTGGTGAAAATTGCTCCCGCTCAAAAATCGTAATACAGAGGACATCTTGATACAGGTCTTTAATGTGAAACTGACAATTGAAGCTCCACTTGGGGTTGACAGTGTCATTGATGGTTCGGGAAGTGTAGCACTGAGAACCCATGGTCACTTCACAGTATGGATTACTCTTTCCTAAAAAACATTGCACAAGTATTACTACCGTAAATATATCAAAACTTAATTTTTGATTAGTAATGTGTTGCTAAGGACTTCATTTGGATAACTTTAAAGCTAATTTTCTCAGAATTTTGATTATTTTTTTTGCAGCCTCAGATTCCAGATTTTCAAATAGTTGTATCTCAGCCAAATATAGTCCTATCCTAACAAACCATACATCAATGGAAAGCTTATTTATTCAGCTTTCAGATGACGTATTAATTTTTATATACAGTACTGTTCAAAAGTTTGGGTTTAATAATATTTTTTCTTATGCTAATAATACTCTCTTATGATCACCAAGGTTATTGCTCAAAAATTGCAGTAAAACAGTAATATTGTGAAATATTATAATTTAAAATAACTGCTTTCTATTTTAATACATTTTAAAATGTAATTTATTCATGTGGTGGCAAAGCTGAATTTTCAGCAGCCATTATTCCAGTCTTTAGTGTCACATGATCCTTCAGAAATCATTCTAATATTCTGATTTAGTACTCGAGAAACATTTCTTATTATTATCAATGTTCAAAACAAATGTGCTGCTTAATAAAATACTGTAATTCATCTTTTCAGAATTCCTTGACGAATAGAAACTCCAAAACAAAAGCATTTTTAAATAGACATCCGTTGTAACATTATACATTAATTTACTGTCACTTTTGATCAATTTACTGCACCTTGCTGAATAAAATTATTCATGTCACAAAAATATTACTGACCCCAAACCTTTGGATTGTTGTGTATTAGGCGAGTACTCCTATTCAGTGTTCCAAATAATAAATAAATACATAAATAAAACTTACATTGATAAGACTTTTCCCGTTTCTTCTTCTCTGTCTCTATGAATGCTTCTGATGCCGCTTTGATCTTCTGAACCCATGCAGTCCTAGCAGGATTCCAAGGAGATAAAAATTTTGTGTCATAAAATGTTGCTTGAAGCAAAAAGTAAGTGTTTTCCCTAAACATTCATTTGCATTAAAATTCTGTCAATTCCACTTGCAGTGGCATTTCAGCAGCATGAAAAGCGGTTGTTTTTTCTCTACCCATACAGTGTGGCGATAACAACATTCCTTTAAGGGTTCATAAAGCCTCCCATAGTGTCCAGTAAATAGTGGCTTGCTGATAAGACTGATAAAGCGAGCGGTCGCTGAAACAGACCTCTCGTTAATGTTCTCAGTCTTCAGTGTGTACACACGATCTATGTGGGAAATGTGGAAGACGGCCTCGTCGCTGGACGGATCTGACGGAAGCTTCACCAGAACTTCATTGAGGAACACAGGCTAGGAACACAAACATACACAATACCTCAGAGCTTTTTTTCTTTTGTTCAAAGGTTTAACCATAAAGGAACGCTACTCTGTAAAGAGGAGTGGAACCCTACCGTCTTATACATCTTGTACTGGCTGTTGGACTTGGGGCTAAAGAGCTTGTCCGTTCCTGAGGAACTGAACTGCTTGACAGCTTGAGTGAACAGCATAAAGTCGTTGAACAGGAAGATGTATAACTCCTTGTTGCTCTTGGTCTTAAACACCTTCCCGCTGTGCAGCAATATACGAGGACCCAAGCAGTTGGTCAGAGAGTTGAAGGTCAGATTCTAGACAAGTGGCACAATAGAAGAGTAAGAAATCTAATACACAGTACACGGTACATGAAAGTTTAAGCCAAAGTCTTTCAACCAATCAGCCCTCAAATTTTATGGTATCATTCAAAAGTTTAGTCAGTACGATTTTCTGAAAAGAAATTAACACTTTTATTGAGAAAGGATGCATTAAATTGATCAAAGAGATAAAAGATTTTCGAATTTTCTATTCAAAGAATCATGAGCAAATATGTATCACTGTTTCCACACAAATATTAAGCAGCCCCATTGTTTTCAACATTGTTAATAATACAACATTTTTCTTGAACAGCAAATCAGCATATTAGAATGATTTCTGAAGGATCATGTGACACTAAAGACCGGAGTAATGATGCTAAAAATTCAGCTTTGCCATCACAGGAATAAATTACATTTTAAAATGTATTAAACGGAAAACTATTATTTTAAATTGTAAAAATATTTCACAGTATTACTGTTTTTACTTAATTTTTGATCAAATAAATGCAGCATTGATGAGCATAAGAGACTTCTTCAAAAACATCTTCAAAAATCTTACAGACTAGAGAGAACTATTGAATGGTAGTGTACATCTAGACGATAGCTTATGACTGATCTTGTAATGTTCCAAATGTCACATGACTAAATACTGTGCTATTTTTTGTACCTCTGTGATGCCTTCACACTGCACATGGGACTGGATCCATTCCAGCCTGTCAGAGGTCTCCTTCTCCCTGACACCTTCGTTCACCTGAGAGCACAGCAGCTCTGCCTTCTCCAAAGCCTCTCGCAGCTGATTACAGTCCATGTGACTGTCTGGAGTACTTTCCAGGATCTGGACACACAAATACACACAAGTATTGGTTAACATTAACAATGCACTAATCATTTGCATTAATGATCAACATCTAAATTAACAGATATAGAATAATGAAACCGATCTAAAATAAGTTATTTTCACTGTACTCACATTTTTAATATGGAGAGGATAGCGAGTGATCCTTTGCATAGGTTTGAGTAAAAAGCTGGACAAAGGCATTCCTTTACAACGGTAGTCTGTAGCAATTTTCTGAAGAAAAAAAATATTACAATTAACATTACTCCCAAGAAAATATTTAAACCAAAAACTCACATTGATGATGATATAAATTATGTACAATTATAATATTATTTTATTACACTATTAATCATCACTATACATTATTATAATACTTGGGATATATGCACTTTCAAAAATGTATATGCCATACTGAAAGACCATGAACTGCAAAAAAACTAATATTACTTATATTTCATTCAATAAATAAATAAAATCATTAAAATAAATAAACCGAAAATATAGCCTTTCATTTAATAAGATATCAAATAAATCATGAAAAAAAAAAATTAAATTAAAAAAAAAAAGTCAAATATGTAACCCTGGACCACAAAACCAGTCATAAGTAGCAGGGGTATATTTGTGGCAATACATTGCATGGGTCAAAATAATTTTTCTTTTATGCCAAAAATCATTAGGATATTAAGTAAAGATCATGTTCCATGAAGATATTTTGTAAATTTCCTACAGTAAATATATAAAAACGTAATTTTTGATTAGTAATAAGAAGTTGATAAGAACGTCATTTGGACAACTTTAAAGGCGATTTTCCCATTATTTAGATGTTTTTGCACCCTCAGATTCCAGATTTTCAAATAATTGTCTCTCGGCCAAATATAGTACTATCCTAACAAACCATACATCAATGGAAAGCTTATTTATTCAGCTTTCAGATGATGTATAAATCTCATTTTCCAAAAATTGACCCTTATAACTGGTTTTGTGGTCCAGGGTCACATATAACTTTGCATAATTTTGGTTTGGTAAAATTATATAAAGCTTAATGTCTATTTTAACATAAGTCTTTTTAACTGTTTAAGTGATGTATGTGAGGCTACCTTGAGGAAAGTTTTGAAGTCTGGCTCCTGATCGGTTCTCTGTTGCAGCAGCGTGGCACCGTTCAGCTGGCAGCTGCAGAAGCGGATGTAGGCCTGCATGTGTGACAGTTCAGAGGCCAGGATGTCTCCGATCATGTGAACAGGCATGTTCTCTCCCCCGGTCTTTTTCCTTGCTTTCAGTGCCCTGACAATGCACACATCATGCATGATACACTTCACATTGGTAAAAGATAAAAAATATTTGCAAGTTAACCTCACATACTTGAGCATCTTGGAGTTGCACTGGATAAGCTCCCTCCAGTTGACAAATATCATGTTCATTTCAGCCTCAGTGAGACGACCCGATTCAGACATGGGCTTGTAGAAGACCTTAAGAAAGACAACAGGAAAAATATAATTTTATCTTCAAAAAAAAAATAAATTATGTATTATAAAATCTATTTAATTATTACATTAATAATGTTACAAAAGATTTCTATTTCAGATAAATGCTGTTCTTCTGAACTTTCTATTCATCAAAGAAACTTGAAAAAATTCTACTCGGCTGTTTTCAACATAATAATAATAATAATAATAATAATGTTTTTTGAGCAGCAAATAAGAATATTAGAATGATTTCTGAAGGATCATGTGACTGGAGTAATGATGCTAAAAATTCAGCTTTGAAATCACAGGAATAAATTACATTTTAAAATATATTCACTAATTCTATATAATTATTATACTATTTTATTAAACTATTATTAATTATTAGACAATATTATTACACTACTTGGGATATTTGTACTTTCAAAAATTCATACAGAATACTGCAAAAAAGCTTAATATTATTTATATTTATGTAATTAAATAAAATCATTAAAATATATAAACTGAAAATACAAACTTTCATTTAACAACATACTAAATAAATAATGCAAAATATAATAAAGTAAAAAAAAACTTAATTATTTTCATCTTCATTGCTTCATTTTGGATTACTCATCCTGGTTTTGTGGTACCACTAAAACGGTTGGCACCTCTTCTGTAAATTGCTTGTTTTATTCATATTACTAAGTTGATTTGGATAAAACGGTCTGCTAAATAAATAAATGTGAATTAGTTGATCTGTGACTGTGTACCTCAAGGACTAGCTGTAGGTCTTCATTGTATTTCTCCTCTGTCTCAATGAGCTCATGGATGTATCCTTGCCGTTTCTTCTCCTGCGGGCTCATTGAATCCAGAGTGCTCTGGTCAGCACACCCTACAAGAAAACGGTACAGGTGAACTCACCTAGACACTCGAAGCCCATAAACACAACAAAACACACACAGACTGACGGCTGCAGAAGATCCTTCAACAACCTTACTGCAAACACACTCAAGCACACTTAAATGCAGGATAATGTCAGTCGCAGCATGATGATGACACTTCAAACCGCTCCAGCGTCAATCCTTACCTGTTGATGGTCTGTCCGTTTGACCATCCGGGTTGCCTTTAGTGGTGCCTTCATCGTCCACATCCCAGAGCCGTAAAAATAGCAGTTTACCCCCTGAATGATCGCTCATTTTTACGAGCTGTGCTTTGTAAATATGCTCATTTACTGTAATGAACACTGCAAGCATGCAGGATTATTCTGTTTTCACCCATAATACAACAGTACGATAACTATAACTAGATGGCAGTGAAGATTAGCTAGAGGAATACTATCAGTAAGTCACTAGAAATTCATGAATGTGGTGAAATATATGAGACACTACTATCTATTTAAATATGAATATCTATGATCAAACAATTAGATCATTACATGGCTACATTTTACTGTAGATGATAAAAATATTTATGGGCTTTTTTTTCACTTTTTAAAAATGCATATCTGAAAGTGTTTTTTGGCACTGAACTCTTGTTACAAAAATTAAAAAGGAACGACGTTTGTTTTTTTCAAAAGACTTTAATGTCTAGATTTCTTCAAATCAAATAAGTACAAGATCCAAGTATTTGAGATATCTTAGGTATTATTAACAACATCCAATAAAATTACATTAAGGCAAACATTGGTCCACAACTTCACAACTATTTGCATAGTTTCCCATATATTATTAACAAATCTGTTTATACAGAAGCGAGTCATGCACAAACATGGCATATAACGCAATAAATATGTAACAATACCACCTAAGGTGAAAGCATTGTGCTTAAAATAGCATCAGCAGAACTATGTTTGCAAATACACCACAGACAGTAACAAGTTGTCTTTCATTTTTGTTCTTACATTGATTTCAAACTAAAACTACTGAATATAAATCAAATGAAAGCAAAAGAGTGAAAACCATCTACAGATTCAAGGTGAAACTGCCTCCAAAAAGTGACAGTTGTTTGTTCTTTAAAATGTCAAAGTGCCTTCAATAACCAGAGACTAATAATACTAAGATTAAAGTTGCATTATAACCAGCGTATATATGTAAAGTGTATCATTAATGTGATTGCGATGACATACTGAGGCAATTTCACACTTTGTAACATGCCTTAAAATGTAACATCCAAACTGAGGAGCAACAGCTTTACTGTGAAATCTCACCATCCCAAAATGACCGTATAAAAGAAGCTGCCACCTTTAAGAAACTTTAAGCAAACTAAAATGTAAGAAAATACAAAAAAGGAAAACCAGATTCACTAACCCCCTACAAATCAGTTAAGATCAGACCAGATTACCAGTCAACTGAATAAAAAGCCTTGTTTTAGTTTAAAAGAAATAATACTGGTGAGGAAAGATACAGGAGGGTGATTGGGTGAGTAAATGGTGGTTTCAACAGGACCACCTCCACTGTGAGAGGGGGATAGTGGGTCTCTTATGGATGAAGGAAAGGAAAGGTGTTACGTCCCTACAGAGAAGGACACAAATGAAGAACAAAGTCGAAGCGGAAAAGATTGTGTGAGAAATAAACGTGTGGCCAAATATGGAGTTTGAGAAGAGGAAAGGTCTAACATTCGATCAGATACTACATGTACAAGTATAAAAGACTGGAAACACCCTTTCCGTTATAACTGCAAAAATAAAATTAACCATAAAGCACCATAAAATAACACTAAATATCGATTATATTTAAAGCAGGATAAAAATGTTATTATAATAATGTAATGAAATTGTAATACACTCCGTCATAAATACAAATCATTTCTTATAATAAACACCCACATTTAAGGAGCATAGACAGCAACAATTTTTCCTTTAAATAATCTGAAACCAATTTAATTTTCAAAAAAAAAAAAAGAGTAAATTTTATTGTTGCAAACACAACCAAAAACCTGCAAAATGATGAAAAACACAACCAAAATAGACTGGTCTGTTTAAGGGTCTCTACTTACAATGCTGACTGGGGTCAGAATCAGAGGTGGTCATTTTCACATAGTTGGAAGGAATCAAGCCCGTGACCCCATTGAGCTCTCCTTTCCACCAGTCAGGATCGCTTTTGTCCAACACGTTGATAACTTGACTCTTCGAGAAGCTCAGCTCGTCCTCATTCGCGGCGGTGTAGTCGTATATGGCGATGACTTGGCCGACTAGAGTGAGGACAGACAGTGAGAATGAGGAGAGATTCACCAAAAAAAACAACAACCCTGGAAAGCTGTTCTGTTTCTTACCAGCCGCAGACGCAGGTGTAGATTTGCCGCTGTTTGAGCCTAGAAGCTTGACGTGTGAAGCAGGGAACCAGCCCTTCTGACGCTTCTTCCCCCTGGCCTGAAGACACAAACAAAAACTTTTGCAGCTATTTTGAATTTTGTTTTTATCATCAATTATTGTGTGTGCAATTCCAGATATATAACTATTGACAGTAAATTAAAAATCAGCTAATAACTGAAACACACCAATATATCATAACCAATATATCTATTATAAATAATATGGGCCATAAGATGGAACACATGTAAAAAGTATTAAGTAAAATCACTTAAAACTGTGTTTTATTAGTTCCTTGATTAACATAATTGGAGGTAATGGCTCATTTAAAGGATTAGTTCACTTTCAAATTAAAATTTCCTGATAATTTACTCACCCCCATGTCATCCAAGATTTGTACGTCTTTCTTTCTTCAGTAGAAAAGAAATTAAGGTTTTTTATTAAAACATTCCAGGCTTATTCTCCTTATAGTGGACTTCAATGGCTACCAAACGGTTGAAGTCCGCTATAAGGAGAATAATCCTGGAATGTTTTCATCTGCAGCGATGTAGGACGATTTTGAAGTTGGAGGAGAAAATGTGATAGGAGTTTTTCGACATACCCTAACTGTTTTGAACGGGACTGCACAGAGTACGCATGCGCATTGCAGAGCTACACAAGACAAGCGTTTGAGGTTAAAAAGTATATAAATTTTTATTTTTTTTAGAAAATGACCGATAGTTTCACTAGATAAGACCCTTATTCCTCGTCTGGTATCGTATAGAGCCCTTTGAAGCTGCACTGAAACTGTAATTTTGACCTTCAACCGTTTGGTAGCCGTTGAAGTCCGCTATAAGGAGAATAATCCTGGAATGTTTTCATCAAAAACATTAATTTTTTTTCGACTGAAGAAAGAAAGACGTAAACATCTTGGATGACATGGGGGTGAGTAAATTATCAGTAAATTTTAATTTGAAAGTGAACTAATCCTTTAAGGTATTTAAGCATGAACTGCTCACTCACCTGCAGTTCCCCGAGCCACCAGCCGGATGGGTTCTTGGTGAGGATGAGGATGAGCTGTCCTGGGGCTAGATTCAACTGCTCTGCACCTGCAGCTGAGTGCGCAGTGGTCACCTGGGCCACTTCTACAAACAAAATAACACATTATAGGTTAAAATAATTATGATTACTGTGATTTAATTTTGACATATAACTTCATGTTGTTATGTACTTACCTGGTTTCTTTGCAGGTGTTCCAAGTTTACCAGAGAGACTTGATGCCTAACAAGGAGAAAAAACATGTATTATCACAAACCAACAACATGTATAAATGTCTTTAAATACAAAAATAAAATTACATCAGCCTCCTTTGGCTTGACGTAATTGGAGGGGAAGACTCCTGATCTGTCTCCAATGCTGCCTCTCCACCACTCCCCTTCTCTCTCTGATACCAGGATGGTGTCTCCCTCGGTGAAGGTCAGGTCTCCGGGCTCAGGGCTCTCATAAGTGTACAGAGCCACGTATTCTGATGACAGGATCAACATACAAACACGGTTCAGGGTAACACAGATCACAAGGACAATACTGATGTCAAGAGATTAATCTGTGGTGTATGTTCACAAGCATAACAGACACGAAATACAAAGGAAATGAATATACTGTACACACACAGGAAATAAATGTCTGGGTTGCCCTCAAAGAATGTTTAATCACACTAAAGAATCAATGATTAAATAACTAATTACACTACCGTTCAAAGGTTTGGGGTCAGTAAGATTTAAAATAAAAATAAATAAATTCTTTCCCTCAGCAAAGATGCATTTAATTGATCAAAAATGACAAAAAGTAAAAACATTTATAAAGTTACAACAGATTTCTATTTAAAATAAATTATGTTCTTTTGAATATTCCATTCATCAAAGAAAAAAGATTTACCTCAATCAAAGGATTCCCTCAAAAAAATATTAAGCAGCACAACTGATTTTAGCATTTATAATAACAATAAACGTTTCTTGAACAGCAAATGGCATATTAGAATGATTTCTGAAGACTGGAGTAATGGCTGCTGAAAATTCAGCTTCATCGTCGCAGGAATAAATTACTACATTTTGTTTCTTATTACGTAATAGCAAATAATTTTTATGTTGCAGTATCATATGCAGTATTACACCAAAGGTATCTTCTCTTAGATACTAAGGCAAGCTGTTCTTAATCGCAAACTGCTTCAGTGTCTCATAACTGCAAAGTTTCCCAGTGGAAAAACCGAATGTATTTTCTCTTACCTTCATAGCTGGATCCATCTGCTGTATCAGATCCATCAGTGGAACTATGGGGGGAGGGAAATTAAACATTAAAGAAGCACCAAACAAGGTGATTGAATAGTGTTTCAGGAGAAAACGGTTAAATGCCAAATGAATAATGACAACCGCAAACAGAAAAAGTAAAGCAACACAACATCAGAATTAGTCTCTTTGCAGGAACCTCTGCACCTCAGGACACCAGTGAGTTTTAGTATGCAAAGAATCACTTGATTTAGTTTGAAAATACCATTTCACATGAACTTTTTCCACAGACAAAGTACATGTAACACTCACAGCTACACACTCAGTCTATTTTGGTCACAAACACTTCAGTATTGTTATTATTCATATTAAACCACTTCAGCACAATGTTTGTATTTACTCTGCTTGTGCATCACTGGCACTCAGCACTGTAACATAGCTTTTGGGGAACCACCCCTGAACCCTATTAAGCTCTCCAAGCCACCAGTTCTCCTGCTGCTCCAGAACTGTGATCACATCATCTTTGGAGAAGTTGAGATGGTTGTCCTTCTTTGCAGTCCATGAGCACAGAGCTTGAGCTTGCACATTCCCCACCACCTGAAAACATGCAGCAAATGTCATTGCATTTCACCACAAGGAAGTTGTAGCTTACATAAACACTATGCGGTTATTCTCAAGGAATCCTGCATACCTGACCATGGTTGGAGGAGGCGGAGCCTGTGGCATGGGTGGGGGTGAAAGCGGAGTTCAACCGTGATCCACTCGGTCCGTCGCTCAGTTTGCTGGTGAAGAAGGTTTTAGAATATTCCACGTTCTACCATCATGCTCAAGATTCGAAATGAAACCGTGCATCTTTATGAACTATATTCACACAAAGTCTTAACATTGACAGATAATTTTTTCCATTTGTATTTTTTTAAGACTTAATTAGACTTGATGCGAAAAAACTTTTTCGTAATAGTTTATACTTTCAGACTTGGTGTGAACATGTCTTGTACTCAAAATGCATTTTGCTTGTTTCACATGAAAGACATGCAGTTTGTAGCTGTGAATGTTTTCTATAATGGCTCTGTACCCACATGCACTTTGTCTGTGAGTGCAGATTGAGAAAGATTGTACAAATGATTGCACAAGAGATGTAAATGAAGCATTTGAATAGTATGCAGTAGTCAGATTGGAGATCGCACCTGACAGAGATGGAGACCTGTGGCTTTAGGGCTTGTTTGGCCACGAGCGGAGCCTCTGATTTGGCCTGCTTCTCCACATAGCTCTCAGGGAACCAGCCCATCTTCCCCTGCCGACTGCCATACAGCCAACCCTGCTCTCGCTCTGTGCTCTCATCCACCTAAACAAACACAGATCCAGCTGAGTAAACTCTAAATCTGAACCTTACACTGACGAGAGTTTCACAGCTTCACTACATGTTCCCACAATCACTTTTAACATTAAAAAAAAAAAATCCAAATTGCAATTATTTTCAATGCCAATTGTTATTACCGCAACACAGACTTTTTATTGCATTACACAAACACAAAAAAGAAAAAAAAAAAACATACAAAGAAAAATCATTCTGAAATTACAGATAAATATGAGACCAAAACACTTGACCAAACACTTTTTTTTTTGATAAAGTTAACCAACAGTATTTGTTTGAACTATCAATCTTTTATAACAATGTAAATTTCTTTATTGTCACATTTGATCTATTTAATGTGCTAAATAATAGTATTAAACCACATCTACACCGAACGCAACCGTTGTACTGCAACAGCTAGAAGCGTTCTACACTGTGACGCTGCAAATTCATTTGTCCTTTAAATCAGAAGTAGTAAAAGCACTTGGAGTATGTCAGAAATAGAACGTGGCATCAGTTAAAAATATACATATATATAAAAATAAAACTTTTTTGTATATATAAAGGTTTAATTTTCTTCAAAATATAATAAAGAAAAGGCTAAATGTAGCATCTTTTGTCTTCTACATTTTGGGGCAGACGATTGGCAAGTTTTGTGAGATTTGCTCTCAAACTGACCTCAATCAGGTCATCGCTTTCGAAGGAGAGCTCATCATCGTTTCTGGCAGTGAAGGGGTAGAGGGCCTTAAACGTTGTCAGTGCCGCTGATCTCCTGTGCTGCGTGCCAAGAGGATGTCTGCTGCCTGAAATCCCGAGGATACTTTCAATCATTCCAATCATATCAGAGATAACTTAACTAGCCATGCTGGTTGATTTTAAATCTTACAGTACGCTTTTTCTTACCTTTCCTCTCCTCCAGGCCGCGCAGAAGAGCAGCAACAATGTCTGATTTAACAGTGTTCTTCTTGTTCTGTTCATCGTCTCTCAGTCTTATGGCTGCAGCCTCTTCCTCCTGCTGTTTCTTCTTCCTCTCCTCATCCTGTTTCCTTTGCTCCTCCTCTCGACGCCTCCTGTCCCCCTCTTCCTGCTTTTTCCGGTCCTCCTCTTTTCTTTTTCTCTCCTCTTCTAGTCTCTTCCTCTCCTCTGCATCTCTCATGGCAGCCTCCTGTGCACGAAGTCGCCTCCTCTCCTCCTCCTCATGCTCCCTTCTTCTCTCCTCTTCTCGTCTCTCCTCCTCTTTCTTTCTCCGCTTCCTCTCCTCCTCCAATCTTAACTCCTCCTGCCTCTTTCGCTCCTCCTCCAGTTTTCTCCTTTCTTCCTCCAGTTTTCTCCTCTCCTCCTCCAGTTTCCTCTTTTCTTCATCTCGCCGCCTGCGGTCCTCCTCCTCCTCCTGCCTCCGTTTCTCCTCAAGTCTGCGTTTTTCTTGTTCTCTCCTTTCTTCCTCTTCCTCCCTGCGCCTCCTCTCCTCCTCCTCGCGGGCCTTGTGCTCTCGTTCCGCTTGTTCTCTAGCAGCCTGTAAACGAGCTTGTCTCTCCCTCTCCTCCTCCTCACGAAGTTTGGCTTCTCTTTCCTCCTGTATTATCCTCTGTTTCTCCTCCTCTTCACACCGCAGTTTCTCCTGCCATTGCTGCTCCTTCTCCAGTTTGATGCGTCTGTATAGTGAAATAATTTTTGCTTGTGAAATCCTGAATTCTTTTGAAGTTCCATGTGAGTGTAAGTGTTCTATAGGGGAGAAAAAAAAAAACTTACTTCTGCTCTTCCTCTTCTCTCCTCTTCTTTTCCAGTTCCTCCTGCTTGCGTTTCTTTAGCTCTCTGATTTTTTCTTCCTTAACGGCGCGTAGTTTTTCCAAAGCAGGCTGTTGCGTCCTCTGGCTCTCTCGGAGATCCTAATTAACAAACCAAAAGATTATGACACACTGAACTCAACTGTAACAGAGTCCCAAAACAACCCAATTTACATTCTTAACACCGATACCTGATTTTTAGCTTAACTAAAATTACAAATAAAAAAAAATAAAAAAAATGAATTTAGACCATAAGGTAATGCTTTTAGCAAATTTGCACACATCTGACTCCATTCTGGTATGCAATGCATAATTTTCCACATTCCAAATCCATTTAGACTATTTTCTCCTCATCGAATATCCTTTTTCAATCAGAAGGACATCACAATAAAAGGATTCATGCTGACTTGTAATCCAGAATGCACTCTAAACAGTGCTGTCTTAGTTAACTATAAAAAAAATTAAACACAAACTAATAAAAATGACAAAAACACACAACAAAATGAATAAAACTTAAAAATGAAAATTAAAACTAACACTAAAAATAAATACTAATTTAAAATATTAATAAAAACAATATAGTAGTCTACCAATGATGCTAAAATAACACTGCTCCTAACTGACACTTTTTTAAATAAATATTGCTAGGCCTATTGTGCACAATTCACGTGTGAAACTTTTCGAATAATAATTAAAAATTTAAACTGAAATGACTTCCAATGTAAACAAGATAGGATAGACAGGAAATATTATAAATCACTAATACAGTATCACATAACATGTTTATATTCAATCCCACCCTAAATTATCTCCCACTGAAATATTGTTTCACTTAGAAATGAGTCACATTATGGAAGTTAAATGCATTGTGAATGGAATTTTATTCTGCCTTTAATCCATCCCTGATAATATGTGCAGGAAAGAACCTTTGGTAATGATCTAAAGGTGAAGCTGCTACAGTAAGAGTGAGCAGGAAAAGGGAAAAAAAGAGACCTTCAAAAGGAAGAAGAGATTGCCGAGGCAACTCAGTAAAGAGAGCAGGCCTTTAAGCATGCAGTCATCCATTTCCTCAAACTGCAGCGAAAGCCAGGGAGAGACAGACAAGTAGACAGACAGACAGAAAAGCTCTACAGCTAGTGATAAAGACACAGGGACAAAAGCATAGGGGTTACTCGCATTAGTGTCATCAGAAGCAGTCTATATGCTGTTAGCACTGATCGGTTAAGAAAGATTTGTTACAGAAATGCTAAATAGCTGGGGACTAAAATATTTTCACTCAAGTTAAAATGTCTTCTGTCAATCAGCATCTTGTAAAGTGCAACTAGTCTAGCTAAACATGCAGCTCAGTTTGTGCTGCTCTGAATGGTTTGCATGTATTTATTAGTCATGGCTGAGTGATATTAATGGCTTACCTGGATTTCTTTCTTATACTGATCTATATCTGCTAATTTAACTGCAGTTTCCTTCTCCAAAGCATTAAGCTGTTCTTTAAGCTTTCGACAGGTAAGATCCTTGTCTTCTACATTCCTCTGTAAAGTTTTCACTGTTGCAGCTGCATCAGGAAAAAAACAAACAAACAAACATACAAATTGTTGGTGCGCTCACAATTACAGGGAACAAAGTTTATTATTATTATTTTACAATTCAACATCATTCATGCTTAAGTTTTTTT